CAGCAGTGGGGGAATGCTGATCTCTCCTCCTCCTCAGTACTAGTAGCTGCTGTGCCGGAGTTCTCAGTCACAGCCACGCAGGGGAGACAGAGGTGTCCGGGATAACCGGCAGTGACAGCAGAGGGGGGGACGCGGCAGCAGAGGCGGGGCCCGCATTGTGCATGGTTATATAAGCGATCGGCCGGCTATAAAGCCAGCCGAACGCTTGTATATAACAGCCGGTAACGGCTGTTCACATTCCCGGGAGGATTTTGCTCGCATGCGCCCATAGAAAAAAAATCACGTACATGTACATCCACCCGCCGGGAAGCATCCGCCTGTTTTTTTACAAAACGGCAAGGGGTTAATAAGGGCTGATTAGCGTCAACTAAGGTTTAATAAAGGGGTAAACAGAAACTCTTTCAAAATATCCTGTATCCGTTCTTGGCCAAAAAATGGCCTAGCATTAGCCCTATTAGTTTAAAGAGAACTATGGGGTAAGCGTTTTTCCCAATAGTTCTCTTTAGGGTAACGGGAGGACATATACTAATCTCCTCCTGTGACACAAAGCTCAGTATATCGTGGGCTATTGCCCACGATATACTGAGAGGGCCGCAGTCGGGACGGATCCCAACATTACTGTCGAGATCCACCCAGCTGCATGAGTGACAGCTGGCTCTGCCTATCTAGAGGCAGAGCCAGCTGTACCCGCCCCCTCAACTCAGCGCTGGAGGATCAGAGACGGGAGGGGGAATCCCTGCGGGGAGAGGTGACTGACAGTCACGATTCACTGCAGGGAGACGATCGGAAAGTGAGCAGATCGGCGGCATGTTTCTGCTCTCTTCCCTATCGATAGAGCCGACATGTGGCAGCTTCTTTGTCACAGGTCGGCTCTAACTATGAGGATGAGTGGAAATCACTCACTTCATAGTTCTCCTTTAATGCTTTGTAACAGAAAAAAAAATTGACAGTGAAAAAAATAAAACAAATAAAAGCGAGACTACACAAATGATCAAGCACACAAGAAACGAACAAACAAACAATGTATAGAGTAGACATGTGCGATTCGTTTCGTTCCGAATCGAAATTCGGACGAATTTTCGGAAATTCAGACATTCGGATGTATCCGAATTCCGAATTACAGACATAACGAATGCAAACGAATCCGAATTTCCATTTCCGAAATTCGGTAGCGGTATTTCGAACGTTCGTTTCGTTTTCTGTTCTTATTCGTTTCTTATTCGTTTCGTTCGTTGGAGCAAAGTGACATTAGAGAAGGAGAAAAATATTTTTTCCCCCTCGAATGTCACGAACGAACAAAACGAATAAGAAACAAATAAGAACAGAAAACGAAACGAACGTTCGACCTACCGCTACCGAATTTCGTCCGAATCTGAATTCCGAATCCGAATTGACTTTCACACCCGAATCCCGAAAAACGAAATAACCCGAATTTAAAACGAAACTAAACAAATTTTTTGGCAGTGCACATGTCTAGTATAGAGCACCATAAAATAAACTTAACTATATTAGATACAACCCAAAAAAAACTCCCTCTAAATCAAGAGAAGAGTTTTTTAGTTTTACCTAAACCTTTTCTTACTCTGTTTTAAATACAATATGCATTCTAAAGAAATCCTGTCTGGATTTGGTTTATACGTGCCCAGTACAACTTCACATTTCTGCTTGAATGCCCCAGGAGCTCTAAACTCATGTTTTTAGTGCATATACCTTCTGTTCAACAGGAAATAAATCATTTTGACCCTTCAATAACACTCAAGGTCATTTAAATTACATCTATTATGTATATTTGTAATTAACTACAGAGGTATGACAAATGAAGCTCATTACAGACACAAAATATAGCCTTAAACTGTATAGTATATACAACAGCAATATTACACTCTTCCAACTGAGCACTGTACATTCTGCAGAAGTCTTTAAAGTACAAATCATAAAATTATAAATATTTTATTGTGCCATCTGTTTATTTGCCTGGCTCATTATACCGTGTGTAGAGCTCAGTGACAAAGCAGATAAAAAGAATCCTAAAAGCAGTATGGTCTACGTTTCTGTCTGACATACGGCAATGTACCTTCTGTCAGACAATCACTTACTTATACAATGTGTTACCTAATCATACACAGAGCCAGGCAGTGAATAACTTGCATGAAAACCTCATAAACATAGAGCAGTGGTGTATTTAGTTTAAGGGGCAGTACTGCGGCTACACAAATGTTTAAAAAAAAAAAACAACAACAGCAAAGCACATTTTCAAAACACATCTGTTCTGACTTTGGCAGTTTGAAGTCAGGGGAGCAAAATAAAATGTATGGGACTTGTGAAGGAAATAAAAAGTCAGAACCTGTCAAAGTCACATGACTGGCTCTCTTCCAACCATGGAGGTCTCTCTGCTGTGAACTACCACAGACTCTAGACCAGGGGTCGGCAACCCCCGGCACGCGTGCCCGGCTTGGCACGCGAGGCCACATCGGCTGGCACGCAGGCCCGGATTTCCCACAAGGCCACCTCGGGGCGGCAGCGGTGACCCTGTGGGGAAGTTGCGGGCACCGGTGTAAGGTATCCGGCGGCCGCACACTACGGTCCGCCGCCGTCCATCTGATGGTTGCAAAAATGGCACTCGGTGTGTAAAAGGTTGCTGACCCCTGCTCTAGACTATGGCCTTAATTTTGTGAAAAGGTTGTAAAATGCAGGCTGCAGCATGTGTAGCGCTGAGCAGTATAATGAAGAGCAGATATCCACTATCCTTTTTACATGAGCCTATATGTAAAGTATGTAAGTACTTGATATTTGATGATAGTATATACAACTAGTGGCCATGCACATGCAGAATGGGCCACACTACTCGGGTTTGGACAGCTTTATCTGTCATGTATTTGCCCATACACCCAGATTGGCAAATCTTTGAAGTTTTGATGTTCAGCATACGTGCCAACTTGACCACGTAGCTTCAAAACTTCTTACTTTTGTTTACTTTGCTTACTGATTGATTTGTGCATATTGATGTAGAAAGTACACTTTATTGTAGTTATTAATCAGATTTCTTCTTTCTGTAGTCAAACCAGTGAAATATGAGTTTGTTTATTTGTTTTGTGGTCACACATTGCTCTTTACCTTGTCAAAGGAAACCTGAAATCCATGCTGAATAAAATAAACAAATATTGTCATCTATAAGCAGTCACCCCACAGTGCCGGCTACTACCCTCCGGCAGGAGGTAGTGGCTCGTCTGACATTGCTTCCATTTAGCTGGCGACTTGAGGTAGTCAGAGGTACTGTCAGTTAGTGTCAGTATCACTCCTTCTACTAAATGAGTGACCTTTTATTTCCTGGCAAGAGTATTGCCAGGAGATGAAAGGATTGCCAAGACATGGATCATATCTGCAGGTCATTTGCGACTGATGTTGAATCTACAATACATCACTTTTTCTTTGTCTTTTTACGAGGGGCTCACCTTCAAAATCCATATATGTTTGCATGGTACCGTACCCATGGCAGTGCACAACTGCCAAAGCTCTTTTTTAACAAAAAGCTTGCAAATTGGTTGTGGTATGGATTTTTAGGAGAACCCTCAGGGTTTTTTTTTTACAAACAATTTATTTTTCTCAAAAGTTTAAGGAAGCATGTTATTTAAAGGAATTATGTATGTTGAATGTTGCCCTTTAAGTTCTAAAGACTTGATCTGAGCAGAATTTTTGTACATTTTTTTATTGTATTTTTATTTGCTTGCAATTTGGCCTTGAAAAAACCCAGAATAAAACTATAAGGTAAGGCTCCCATAGACTTTTATGAGATTCAAGCACTATGCTGGGGGTTCGCAGATTTCCCACTGGGTTCTGCGAATGGAAAGAGACCAAAACTTTGCTTTGCTGAACAACAGATTTATTACAAGGTTACAGCTTGAGTCATAAATGTCTACCTAAGCTGCTCGAAAGTAACACTGTGATAGAATAAAACTTGATCCCGACCACTTCTTAATTGTGGATCTGTTTAGAGTAAAAATATGTCTTATCTTTAGTAAAACGTCTGCCTCAGAACAAATCTGTTGCACTTGGCTGTCTAGGGATAGAGGTGCAGGGGCCACAAATACACTGTAAACTTTGCTAAGCTAAAGGCAGCCTGATTTACATCTAAATTTGTCAATAATTTGCCTGATAAAACATCCTGCGTTGAGTACTAGGATTTAAAAATGACTCAATGGTCTCTAATTATAAAAATACTAATTACTAAAAATAAAAACAGAGAATTTAAAGCAGATTCACACTGTTGTGTTGTGATAATGTGTAGTTGTGGTAATGTGTTGTGTTGTGTTAATGTGTAGTAAAATTTGTATTTTACCATCACATAAGTGTGATTTGCTTGCAGTGCCATTCATTCTGAATTCTGAATGGCACCCGGATGCACATACACAGCACACCACAACGCACATGCAATTTAGCCCATGACAATGCACAGACGTGAACCATCTGTGCTTTAGGTAAGTTAAATTGAGAAAAAAAGGTGCGGTTGTCAACACCCTTGTCAAAATCAACATGATAGCGTGCATTAAAACACTGTGCCTTGAGATCGTTTGTGAAAAGTAGCGGTATGGTTGCATTTTGCAGGTGAATCCCCCCAAATTTAGTAAATATGCCAAACAAATAAGTGTACTCACCAAGGGCTAGCAGAATATTTTATCAGTAAAATCTTGTTTGAGCACAACAAATCTTACTAACCAGATTTGGTTGTTGTAAAAATCAGTGTTCAATCTGAGCATTATGTAAAGTTTATTTGTATACATTCTGTACATTTTTGTTGTTGTTAGAATGATGAAGACCAGGAGTGACCTATAGTCATCTATAGGTGTAAATGTATGCCATGTTCCTGCATCACAGGGCACCTCATCGTCATGTCCTATTTCGATGCAAATAGAATGTGAACAATGTACTCTGCTCTGATGGTCATTTGAAAATGAAAATGTCTTTGCTGTGTTTAGTCTTAATCTGTAACAAAGTTTCATGTTTCACGTTTTTATTAACTGTTCCTGAAACATCAGTCTGAGATCATTCATTCTCTTGCTAATATTCCTAATTGCACAATGACGTATCCTCTCCTGCAAAAAGGAATCCACTTGAGTATACCAATGTTTCATCCACTCTGTTTCTTTTCCATTGCAAAGGCTAAGTCCTCTGTACACTTTTGACAGGAAAGAGACAATTTTCTCATCATTGCACATTTTGCACCGTTGAAATATCCAGTCCCACCATCCTTCCCAAAACTCCTGGCCAAAATTCTCATCTATGTGGGCAACGATGATGCTTTTCAGAGATTTTGCTTTTATAGCGACAATATCCTCTGACTGGAGATTATTTCCTAGCAGCCTAAATTAAAAAAAAAATCAAGATGAGGGAAAACACTTTAAATGTTTAGGGAACAAAATGTAAACAAAAGCCAAAACAAAAATGACGCCTTTGGTCATATTTACTGAACCAAATCCGGATACAAGTCAGGCTTTAAAGTCAATTCCAATTATATTTCTTTAAATAGTTATAGCTAATACCGTAGTTGTAACTAAATAGTTATTAAGCCATTATAGAAATGTAAAAAAAAATGCTCTCCCCTGCTCTGCAATCCAGTACTGGTTGTTTTACAGGTTGAATAATCCCCAGCTTCATTTAAGCGACTTTCTGTGAGTGCAGGATGTCATTCATCCAACCCTTGAGGGGCATCCTGCACTCATAGTACAATGATGCAAAGCTCGGCTCTGATATCATCACATCAGCAATGCTCACCGCATCATTGAGGATTACCCAGCACCAGAGAAAAGGAAGATGAGACTACCTGTCATCTGACTGGCCTGAAAACAAAAATGGCTATTATAAAAATAGATATGAAAAAATACAAAGAGGGGGATGAAGAGAGTTGAAATAGTTGAACTTCATGTGTATCTAGGGCCAAAACCTTTTTTTAGTTTTGGATAGAATGTGGAAAAGTTAGAATCCCTATGAGGTTTTACTGCTATCCGGGGCTCCAATAGAGCTATTTCCTCTTACATTATGTTTTCCACTTAATGCATTTTTACTTCTCTCTGCATTGCAGTTAGAGACATTTCCTCTTAATTATATCCCTGGGGACAACCTTTCTACCATTCAGAAAGTGAAGGGATCTCTCCAACTGAGGCTCAGACTGCAGTAAAACCGGACAAAAGTTCTAATCCTTCTCCAGATTTTGACTATAGATGTACTTCCCTTCAACTTGCCCAGGCAGTTATCGACTTGGCCATATAAGCATAATGTGTGTCAATTTCTGAATGTTCAAGTCATTTTGCACCCATGTTGTGCTTCTGGATCATTGCGGAAGGGCCAAAAACAAGTTGGATACATAGGCAGATGCAGTATTCATGCAAACATTTCTTCACACCTAAACAGTATCTTAGCAATAACAACTGAGCAGGAAAGTCAAGCACTCTCCATGTACGTCATTTATTTGCAAAACTGGTCTAGAGCAACCTTTTTGGCAAATGTATGGGCACTTCAACACATTACTTATTACTAAGAAAAGCACAATGGTTTTCCAAAGAATTAAAAAACATGGACACTTACACAATATGTTTTAGGTTAGAGTTGACAGCAGATATGTCAGAAAATTGTTCAATGGCCTTGTTGGTGATGTTATTACCTTCAAGCCTGTAAAAAAAAAAAAAAAAAATGTATTTACAAGTTTATAAGCACTTTTCATGCCAATATTGAAGGTTATTTCTGAGCAAAGCCCTAAACATACTTAAATAGCTCTCGTTGCAGGACTATAGCTGTTACTGCTGGGTCATACACATTTACATTTTAGAAATGTTACTCCCCGTACGTATAGTTCTTTTGTTTTAAAAAAAAAAAATTCTTGAAAATATTGTGCTACAAGTAATCACAACTAAAGGGTCAGTTATGAAAGCAATCTTGTACCATTTTTAAATGGCTTTGTATTTATTTACAGATCCAGTTTTGTGACTATTGAATTAAAATGAAGAAATTAATTTCTGAAAGTGAACCATGCTGACACTCCAGATAAAATAGTAAAATAGGTTACCTTCCATATCAAATATCAAACTAGATCATTTGCTTCAGTGAACATGGCATTTGCATGTAATTGAGTACGTACATCAACCGCAATGCAATTTCAAAACAAAAATACTTATTAATGATCTTAATGTTTATGCAGCCCAACATCCAGTTTCCATAATAGAACTGTATTTCTCTAATCTGCTCTAATTAAGGTGTACTATCACTCACTTCTGTGTAGTGGAGAGAGTATAAAGCAAGGGACTGCAAATATGCTTCTCTTTCATTGCAAGAAAAAGAGATAAACAGAGCTGGATTTTCATCACTGGAGCCGGTAGGCACAGAACCTTTGGCGCCCTAAGTAATACCCCTCTGCTAAGATCATATCTTTTAAATGGAACATCCTTGTTTTCCTGGTCCTAATCTAACTTAGAATATTATGATACTGGGTAAAACATCTTATATGTGATCACTATCATCACCTATTGATGATGGAAATGTGTGGCCAAGATTTATACAGGGAAAATCTGTCGAGAAAATGTGTCTTTAAAGTGGTCCTGTACTGCATTTTAAACATTTGAAAGCAAAAGGCCTGGCTATGATCACACACAGACGATTCCTGATATTTATTAGACAAAAAGGCACTTCTGTTACCTTCTTTAAATTATTTAATTTTCTTATTGGGGCCTAACTTCATTGCTTAACCCTGCTAACTACCATTCTACAGCCCAATAGGACCACCTTAGAAACCAACAAAGGAACTCTTTTTGAATAAGGGGAGGAGGTTTGCAGTTGGTGGAGCATTGCCAAAAAGTCCAAAATTTTTACTTTGACATTTCAAATGGCTATAGGATGGTGCAATGCCTTTGTTATGGACCTCAAAGACAATCCAATGTTCACATTAGAACTAACAGAGTGATAGACGTGGATAAATTAATAAGTGCAATGGGATACTGGTCTAAAAAAATATAGTTGTCACCGATGGTCTGTCTTTAAAATGTATTACCACACCAGCTAAAGGAAACCTGTACTAATGAAGATATCTGGAGCTAAGTGCAGGTTCCTTTAGGTACCTTCTTTTAAGTATTGGTTGCAGTTTACTAAGGTTAAAGTGTAGCTTCCACCAATAGGAAAGGGTAAAATGTCTGCAAGGCTTTTGCTACTGTCTGAGGTCTCGGTGACATCTCTCTTATTGCTTATCTCAGTGACAATCTTTCACCCAGATGGGAAGTAGGGGAAAATCTGTGTTTCTTTTAGAGATTTCCCCCCCCCACTTCCTGTCATGGTGAAACATTGTCACCAGGACAGGAAATTTCCCCAAAGGGCCATAGAGAGCTACTGCTGACAGTGGTTCTAAATCTTCCCCGCTCTATTCAAAACGACATTTAAAAAAAAAAGATTGGCAGGGAATATACCTTACGTAGCCACATGTATATGTGAAATATACTATTTCGGTGTACTAACCCTATAATGAAAACCTATTCTGAACTCTGTAGGCCATAATTGCTGACCGCCTACAGAAAAAATGAGTTGTCTGCCCATTATGCTGATTCAATGGCTTCAGTTCTTTCCGAGTCAGTGAGCCCGAAAATACATACACTAATAAAGTGAGACTATCTGACCTGCTTGCTTGTTCTGGGACAGTGTCTCAGAAAGTATGGAAGTCATTGAATCACCATGACAGACAGACAAGTTCATTTTTATGTGAGGTTAGTAATAGCATCCTATGTATTTCTCTTTGTCTCCAATAATAGGACACATGTGGCTAAGCACCCCATTAAAAATAATTTGAAAATAACGTCCGAGTAACCATGATTTAATAATACAGACTGGCCACTTTAACTCAGATTTCTTGTTTCTCTTCAAAATATTTGCAGGGCTCATAGTTGTTAAAATGGCACTAATTATCTCTGGCAGTGTACACTATTTTAAACTGAACCTACAGATACCAGTTTGAGTTAGATGAAAGGCTCCAAGTGACAATCTGCCTGTATTCAATTAAGGATTTTTAAAAACCTGGCAAAAGCTCAGCCATGGGCACAACCCAATTATACTTTCAAAGCTGTCTTCTAAACTAACATTCATCAGCTTCACCAAGAGCCGCGTGGTATTATTTACTGAAATATGTTCTGCCTCTGTCATTAATGCAAAGTTTTCTCCTGTGTTGTTACTTTATTTTCTCTTTGTCTCATACATATATGCAAAAGCAGCACAAAATTAACATTTATTTCATATGAGAACGTTTTCTGATTTCATAAAATTATTACTTTCCATGTCTGTGCCTTTGTATTAGTTACTGGAATTTTTAGCCATAATAAGACACGTATGCCTTGTTGGATTTTATAGTGAATCCGTCCTTTTCCTATGCAGTGCAAAGCAGCAGGTTCACTTAATCGTCCCCTCCCAAGATGCATTTAGTCATCGTTCTTTGGCCCCTGTTCTTTTGGGTATGGGGGAACACGCAACATCATGGCACTTGTGCTTTGTGAATGGCCCAGAGTTGTCACATGGGGGGTGGCGAGAGAGTTTTCAGCCCTGCGTAAGCCCCAGTTTCAACTTAAAAACCACACATTGCTTCTTCTCCTCCCAGCTGAGCAGAACAGCAGAGGGTGAATAAAAGTTATGTGCTGCTAGGGAGGGGGGAAGTAACATGAACCTGTTGCTTTGCCCTGCACTGCTTTTATAACTCTGCTACTGAGGGACAATAGGGTAGTCACATACTACTAAACCCTATTCATCAAGAATAAATAAAGTGAGCAGAATTTAAAGAGGAACTTCACCTGACAAAGGGAAAACGAAACGTCAGCAGCTACAAATACTGTAACTGCTGACTTTTAAAAAACACACACTTACTAGCCCATAGCATCCAGCGCTGTCTTCCTACAACCTTAAATCTTGTCAGCATTTTCTTCATCCGTTCTGCCATCTTGAATTTAAGAGCCAGCTGAGTGATCAGTGAGTGACAGCTGTCCACTGCGTCTCTACAAATACATGAGCCAACATCCTGAAGCCCCTGGGATTTGTGACGTGTATACCAGAAGGCTGTGGGTAGGCCAAGTTTAAGCCATTCTTACTTAGGCCACGAATAAGGAATTAATGAAGGCCAGAAAAAAACAAAAGCATTTGCTCCCCCCCCCCATCAAAAAAACAAAAAAAACCTGCAAATATGTAACAGGGAGGGGGAGTATCAGAATGATAGGAGAATTATGGGGAGAGTGGCATACACTCTTCCCATAATTAGAGCAGACATGTGACATTGAAGCTGTCACACATCGGCTCTATAAATCGGGAAATGAGCGATCACATACCACCGATGGTTCTTTTCCGATTGGGCTAAGCATTCTATCTGGGGACTGTCCCCATAAATCTGGGGACTGTCCCCAGAAATCGTGGATGAATGTAGGGCTGCAACAACTAATCGACCAAGTCGATTATAATCGATGATTGAAAACTTGGAGAACTTTTTCAATCATCGATTATCGTCTTTCGTTTAGTTGGCCCTGTTCACGGCTCACACACGCCACATGCCGCACCTCCTCCCCGCCTCATGCTTGCCGCTGCTAGACCTGCCTGCATCCATGCTCTACACGCCACACCTCCTCCCCGCTTCACGCTTGCCGCTGTTAGACCCGCCTGCCT